CCCCCAGCACACACTGCCCGCTTCATCCCCCCTGCACCTCCACCCTCCGCAGCTCCACGCCTGGCTCCATCCTCGCTGTTACTCACACCTCTCACCCACCACAGCACTTAAACATGAAAGACATATGGAAATGAGTGGCACTAACAAAAGTATTAATTAAAAACCCATCTGTTGAACCAAGGAGAGCTTTCCCCTCCCACAGCTAAGCTTGGGCTGGGCAGTGATTTGGCTCCTTGGCAAAGCAGGATCCAGCCAGAGGAGAGACCTGCAGGACAGGGCAGCCCACAGGCTGGGCAGGGGGAGGGCACGAGGAGGTAGTCATGGAGCCAGGCTCCACAAGGAAGTCTTAAGTCATCTCCTCATGGAGCAAAAGACATGCCGGACCCATCCAGTTTGCGTTCAGCACGCTGACTCCCATCCTCAGGGCACTCACCGTCAGCAGGTCTCAGCCCAGGCCCCCTCTGTGCAGGGCAAGCCAGCCCTGCTGCCCTGCGGGTGGGCACAAGCAGGGCCTGGGAGCGAACCCCTTTGATGCTAAAGCCTTCCCAACTGCCCAAGGCTGGGCTGGCAGCCCCTGAGACCAAGCTGGTGGCCATACAGCAACCAGCAGCTGCTGCAGCATCCTGCTGTGGAGTCATTTCAAGGTGGAAGGCCAGCAGGGATGGGAGTCCAGTGCCCAGAAAGGCTCGGTGGTCAGCGCCATGGGCACGTTCAGCATCCATCTGGTCCCCGGCAAGGGCCTTCCTACAGTGGAAGGGTCATGGGATGGGGCCAGGCAGGAAGGCAGCCCTGCAAGAGAGCGAGTCCAAAACATTTCCTCTCCCCTCGGATGACAGCCTTGGGATGGATGCAGCTCACGGAAGGAGGGCAGCGATGGAGAGACGTGGCAAAGGGAAGCAGACATCCAGGTTGGAAGCCTCCCTTGGCATGAGGCCAGTGGCCACAGCCCCGGACAGCCCAGCTCTACCCAGAGGAAGCTGTCAGGAGAGCAAGAGCAGCAGATGTTGAGCTGTCCGGCAGCCCCCAGCTCTCAGTGTCAACCCTTCCCACAAAAGAGCGAGACAGACCCTTACCAAAGGCAGGCGGCCGCAACCGGGACTCACCGCACGGGACATGACAGTCACACTCGCAGGTGTTGCAGCGCTGGAACCAGCGCACCCAGCCTGAGCGCTTGGTGACACAGGCTGAGATCTTGATGCAGCTGTGGTTGAGGAAAGCTCCCAGGTGGGCCTGGGTGCTGCAGGATGAAGAGCACCTCCCGGTAATGTCCTGCTCGCTGATCTCGATACGACCTCGCAGGCAGATCCCTGCAAGAGCAGGGCCAGAGCACATGACGGGGTGCCCACCAGCCCTCCCGCAGCAAGCTGGGGGGAAAAGAGGGGTTGGAAACATGCCTGCAGCCCTGCTGCCTGCTCCCCACGCAGGCAGGATGCCCCCTCAGGCTCAGCACGACACCCGGCCGTACTCACGAAGGCAGGTGGGCTTGGGGGTCCAGCGACCATCAGACTGGCAGGAGCTGGCCGGGTCCCCCAGGAGCAGGAATCCAGGCCGGCAGCTGTACCGCACCACCGAGCCGACCCACCAGTCGTTGCCGTACACCACCGAGTCCAAGTCCGTTTCGGGTCGCCCGCAGTTCACTGGGGACAGGGAGGTTCCTGAGGGCAGCCCGCGGCTAGCGCCCTGCGCAGCCTGCTCGGCGGAACGTCAGCCCAAGGGGATGCACCCAGGCAAGGCTGCGGGCCCTGGGTGAAGACAAGGATGCTGGCCAGGATCTGCGGGTGCCCCAGGCTGCGTCCTCTTGTGGCCCGAGGACCAGGCTGCTGGAGAGACTCCACCACGCGCGTGTGCGTGGCACAAAACCCGCCCTCCCCAGGCTGGCTGTGCCAAGCCCCGCAGCCAGCCCCAGGGCCCCCCTGTCTCCCCACTCTGGCTGTACCTCTGCAGAAGGACTTGTAGCCCAGCCAGCAGCAGCTGCCATTCCCACACTGGCTCCTCTTCAGCTCCTTGTGCTTCCCCTTGCAGACCCCGAAGCAGATGGGTGCTGTGCCAGACCAGTAAGTATCCGGGTCTCCTGGTGTTGCAGGGAGCAGGACAGGGCTAGGGCTGGGGATCACACTTCCCGCCAGTTCCCCAGCCCTCAGAGACCCACAGGGAGGTGGTACAAAGTCCCAGCCCACCCCCCAACCCCTGCTGTGGTCAGCAGTGCACCCACTAGCACCCCCATTTCTGCAAGTCAGCTCCAGCTTCCCCTGTGCCACACCTCGGCACGGGGACGTGACAAAATTCTTGCTCCCAGCTGGGGAAGACCAGTCCAGCCAGTTACCAGCGGCTCTGGGGCACCCTGAAAGCCTCTCTGCCCCCAACACCCTGTTACCTTCTGGGTCTTCACAGGAGACCAGCACGGCCAGCACAGCGAGGAAGAGGGGGCCCAGTCCCATAGCGCACACACTGCCCTCCTCCCCTTGCCCCTCAGACCAAAGGCCACTCGCTGCTTGCCCAAGAGAAAGTGAACTTGGTTTCCATCCCCACAGGACAGGGGCTGCTGTAGGACACGGGGGAAGGGAGGAGACGTTCCCTTTAATGCCAATCCTCTCGCCAGCAGATAATCTCTGGCAGATTACCCTCCCTGGACCCAGTGTTTAAAGGGACAACTCCAGCCACCGCAGCCTTGCCTCCGCTCCCAACACCAAGCACTCGCACCCTGCAGCAGCCCTGTAGTCCAAGATAACGCAGGCGCAGCCACAGCCTTGGCAGCAGAGCCCCCAGCCCTGCATGTTGGCACGAGGGCCAAGCTGCAAGTGCTGCGAATGCAAACCTGGCCGGAGGCCCTTCTCTCGAAGATATCCTCAGCCCAGCTCTGCCAAGCACCAGGGAGCGAGGGCCAGGCAGGGGCCGGGAAGGCTGGGCAAGGCCCAGCCACACGTCAGCAGCCCAGGAGCTCTGTCCCCAGAGCGGCGTCCTCCCGCAGCGCGTGCTCAGGGCTGCTGGGAGAGCAGCTGCCTCCTGCACTGCCTCCCCCGAGCACAGGGTGCCCAGCACACCACCCCACCTGAGTTTCACCAGCCCCCCAGGAGGCACCCTGGAGAGAGCGGCACCGGGGCGCACGCCGCCCACCACCCCGATCCAGCAGCAGGAGACGTCCCCACAGGGCCTCAGCAGGCAGCTCTGCCCGCTTCACCCCCTCTCCTCACCCAGCAACCGCGGAGCACGCTGCCCTGCACCCAGGGCGCGGGCCTAAGGGGCTGCTCCCATCGCCCCATCCCAAGGGCACAGTCACCAATCACACCCCCTGGGTTTGGAATTAGAAAGTGAACAGGTGGCCAAGGGTTTAGTATAAAGTGATTTCCTCCATTAACCTGGAATTCCAACAGCTTTTGCTGAACTGCTTGAGAGAGGAAGCGAGGAGTAAAAAGTCAGCGTCCAGCCCAGATCAGCAGGGCACCTCCCTGCCTCCATCTGGGCACAGCTCTTCCACACACAGGGCAGTGTGGGCCCAAGCGTCACTCCGGGGACACCAGCTTCACGCCGTCCCCATCCAACTCACGACAAAGGGTAAGCTGGCTCTGCTCACAAGCCCAGGCTACTCTCTGTAGTCAAAAAATGACATCGCAGGCAGCTGACATTCACACCCTGAAGGAGGCAGCAAAAATCAAACTCAGGACAGCAGGGAACAAGAGTGCCAGAGCTAAACCCGGCCTTCCAGTGCCACCTCTGGGGACGTGGAACAACGCGCTCTCTGAGGCACCAAGTGGCAGCACAGAGGACATGTTAAGAGGCCCTGGCAGCTCTTCAGTGCCCACCTCCCACGGCGAAGGCTCTAGGCAACTCCCCCTCATCCTCTCGCCACAACGTGCCACGGCTGGCAGGGACGGGGCCGAAACAGACACCAGACACTGCTTGGCCTGGCAGTCTGACTTTTATTTGTATCGCCAAAGTACACTTTGCCCAACCAGGAGCCCAAGCCCCAATATGGGGAGGAAACCCAGGGAAGGACAAAAGCATTAAGGAGCTCCCAATCCCCCAGTGCTGCAGGGCAGGACCGCGCCTCCAGCCCTCTCCTCCCAGAGACCGGTGGTGCAGCCACCACCAGCAGCACCAGCTGAATGACCCAGGAAAGATGATGCACGGGGAAGTGCCGATGAAGGCAGAAGTAGAGCGTGCCATCCCTTAGAGAACAAAGTATGGACGCAGCCCCTGCTGAGGGCCACACATCTCCCCAGGGAAGAGGCTTCAGCTGCAGTGTCTGCTCAGCACGCCACCCTGCCTGGGGACATCCTAGCTGGGGACATCCTAGCTGGGGACCAGGCTCTGACAACTGAGCTGTGCAGCAGCAGCAGCAGGAACCACGTCACCAGCGAGTGACCAGGAGGGGAAGGCCTGTGTCAGGCTAAGGCCAAACCTCCTGGAAGGGTGGGAGAGGCTTGCTAGTCCCTAATCCCCAAGAAGAGGAGACAGACAGCTCTTTCCAGCTCAGATCACTCGATCCGCAACTGAGAGACCTGTCCTTCCCCTCTCCCCACGCTAACCAGAGGCTGGGGCAGCAGAGTGGGAAGCCAGCCAGCTGCACGTAGGTGAAGACAAGCTCAGCCCTCTGCCCCAAGCACTTGTCAACCTCCCCCACCAGCACATCCCATGGAGGCCCAAGTTTTCCTCATGCAGCGAGGCAGGCGAGCACCTCACACGATCTGGATGCCCAGCTCCTCGGCCGTCTTCTGCAGACGGTCCATGACATTCTCCTCCAGCTCCATAGCCAGCCCGCTGGGTGCTGCCACCTGCTCCTCGGAGGATGTGCTGGCCATGACATAATACACAGTCTCGCTCTCCCCATGCTCGTTGGTCCGGTTCACCACACGGATGATGGGGTTGGCGGGGGTGCCAGGTTCTTGCTCCGATGACAGCGCTGCTCCTGGGAAGGTGCTCGGCCGTGCTGGCTCAGGGTTGTCAGCAGAGCAAGGGGCTGGGCGCAGCGGGGCCACCTGCAGTTGAGTGATACTGTTCTCCACCAGTGGAGCCTCTGGCGGGGCCTCCAGAATGATGCCCTGCAGGTTGCCCTCACCCTCAGACAGCACCACACACTCAGCCGAGCCATCCAGTGCCTCCCCCTGCTTCTCTCCATCCTTCAGTAGCTGCTCCGTCAGCTCCACGCTCTCGTAACGCACCAGCTGCAGCCTCATGTAGCCATCCTCGTGTTCCTTGTACCTGAGCGGAGACAGGCAGAGGTGACGGAGCCATCACACTGCGGCCCCCTCCCTAGAGACAGGAGCAGCCTGAAGCAGCAGCCAAGAGGCACTACATCCTCGTTTCCAAGGCCCAGTGCTACAGAGATGACACCAGGCAAGATAAAAACCCTTCAGCCCTACCCTGAAAAGCACATCCATGTGGCAGCTTCTGAGCTTTCCAATAGGCCTCTTATCTCCCAAGGCCATCTACTTCCACCACTCTGTTTCACTGGGAGCATTTGAAGTCCATCCTCTTCCCCTACCAGCTTTTAGGCTCTGGAAACTCTCTGGAGCTTCCTAGAGAGGATGCAGCAGAGGCATCTCTCAAGACACTAACTCTTCCTAGAGCGGGACGCCTGGACCTGGCCCCCGCCAAGCTCAGAAGCGTCCCACCAGATGCAGCTGTGAGAGCATCGCTTCTGCCCTTGCCCCTAAACCTCTGACCCACTGCCAGAGCTGCCACCCTGCATTGCTGTCACTGTGCCAGATTTCACAGAATGCCTGCTGCCCAGCGCCTCCCAGCCACTGGGAAATGGGTCTTGAGCACATTACAGGCAAACATCAGAGCCCAAGCACTGCCAGGTCTCTGCTCCAGCAAGACACAGGGTGCAGCTCCAGCTGTCTCTTGCACTAGGGAGGAGGAAATGAGGAGCTAAGGATGGGCAGTACCTGAAGCGAGGATGACCCGAGGGCCATTTGAACTGGTGTTTCTTCCTGAGGTGGACAGTGAGGTTGTTTCCACGTGTGAAGCATTTGTCACAGACATGGCACTTGTACCGGGGCTCTGAGTCACCCTGAAGGGCAGAGAGAGGGATGTGAATACTCCATGAGCCTGATCAGAGGGCCTGGTACCCACGCGTGTGCATGGAAGGAAGAATCAGGTTCTCTGAGAAGACTGACATGACGTATCATTGCAGCAGTACGAGAGGAACGCAACTCAACTTCACATTCCTACAGCCCTGGTCAGCCTGAGGCACATCACATGACTTTAGCTTTTTTTTTCCTCATGCTTCTGTACAGCATGTTGCACTTAGCAGTTCTCAGCCTCACTGGGAGACAGTACACAGCAGAACAGCCCTCTGCTCCCTTCCCACCTCATGGACTTTCCGGTAGTGCAGTTTGATGGAGCAGAGGGAACGTGCAGTGAAGCTGCAAGCCTCAAACTCGCAGCGATAGGCTGGCTCTTTGCTGTGAGTGTCCAGATGTTTCCTCAAGTCAACGAGATTCTTGCAGCTAAAAGGAAATTACAAGGGGACAAAGCTGAAGACCGTGTAGCACGCACACGGACGTGCCTCTGGGTGCTTTTCTGTCACCGGTTTGGAAAAACAGAAAGCCCTGGTCCTCACCTGTAGTCACAGTAGTCACACTTGAACGGCCGCTCCTCGCTGTGCCGAAAACGAATGTGATTGCGCAGGGAGGAGGGCAGGGGGCAGGTCATGTCGCACAGAGGGCACTTGTAGTGGTTCACTGTGCGAAAGGACGGGTGGGAAACGTTACCACAAAGTACGGGAGAGCACACGCTCTTCAGAGCCTCAGCTGGGAGAAGCCTTTACTCACCATGGTTCCTCATATGGTCACGGAGCAGCCTCTCTGTGGCAAACCTCTTGGAGCAGTGAGAACACTGAAACCTCTGCTCTGCAGCATCGGGGCCAGGGAGAAAGGGGAAGGGGTGATGAGAAAAGAGATTAAAGCAAAGAGAGCAGCACAAAGAGCAGCAAGGGAGAAAAAGAGGCAGTTACAGTGGAACTGGGAACCCTTCTCTCCAGGCAGAGATCGCAGACACGAAGGCAAACAAAACCCAAACCACTTGCAAAGCCCAGGCTGCCTCCCCTGCGCAGAGCCTCCTCGTGCTGCCAGCGCAGGAACTGGGGAGCCCCCACACGCCCTGGCAGCACAGCACAAGGGAACTCAACAAGCAAATCCCAGTCCTGCTGCAAGTGCCCAGCTGCTGCCTTTGACTTCAGTCCTGGGTCCCCACAGGAGGAACAGCTCTGGCTGCAGCAGCGAGAGCCTGGGCAGCCTCCAGCCCCCCTGCCTCTGCCAGACACCTCTCAGAGATTCAGCAGTGTCGGAGCTCCCACTGTCCGGGGACGCCAGGCTGTTTCCAAGCACACCCCTGCCCTTTGCTCACAGAGAACAGGCAGCTCCAGCAAACCAAAAGGCTCAGGCAGAGGACTGCTCACAGTCCCGCTCCTCCCCGGCCCGCAGGAGCTTACGGTCCAACGCAGTCTGACGGCGGATGTGGTCAAAGAACTTGGTGTTGTTGGCAAACATCCCCCCGCAGGTAGGACAGGCCACCACTTTCTCCTGCGTGTGGCTGCGCAGGTGCTCCCGCAGTTTGCAGCGCCCCTTGAAGGTGCAGTCGCAGTCTAAACAGAAACAACAGAATGTCATTAAGATCCTTCATGCAGAGGCCACAATCCGCAGCGTGACTGAAC